ACAGCTGTAAATTATTTTTTTATTATTATTATTTTAAGAATAGACACCCTTGCTGTGTATTGGCAAATTGAGAACAGAATTCATTGGATGTTCCTCAAGGAGCAGCTTTGTGCTGCTCACCACTTGGTCACCATTCAAGTCCTAAGCAGTAAAATAAAGTTCATCCAATTTAATCTCTTGAAGTGTTGTGAAGAAAACAGAGAGTGAACTTGTCACACTGTGCAGTTTTGCCGTGATGCTATTAGTTTGTGCTGTCCCCACAAATCGGTCATAATACTTAGCACTTAAAAAATAGGTTATGAACACTCACTGATTAATCCTCCCAAAGACCCCAGGAGATACCTAAAGAGATATTAGCTCCTCTATCTACAGAGAGTGAAATTGAGATAGCAGAGATTAAACAATAAACTGACCCAGTGGCAAAACCGATGTCCTGCTGCATTTCCTAATCCTTTATCATCTGCGCTCTGGCTAAGATTTAAGCTGCTGACAATACCTGAAGCCCTGCTCTAAAGGCAGTGATAGCTCTCGCTGCACCACGATGCACACTGGCTCGGGAGGTGGGCACCACGGCAGCCTCTTGCCCTGCGCCCCCACTTCATGTTCTCCCCACAGAAAATCAGCGCTGCCTTCCCAACACCCCCCAGCCCCAGTTTCAGCAGCAGGGTCTCACACAGAATAAATACTCCGAGTACACCCACTATCCCCCTGCAAGGGTTTTGCTCCCTCCATTGAGACCCACTGCAAAGTCACTTTGAACTACCTGCCATGAAGCAAAATCCCCACCTGCCATTTCCTACACCAGATATCCAGACCTCCTTATGGGCCTTTGTAAACATGCATCACATACGTATGTACGTGTTTATAGAAGTGCACTAACAACCACTCCAGTATTTCCCCAAACTGGCAAAATCTAATTTGCTGCCCAGCCATGTGAAGCCAATTGCCAAGTTTCAGTCAACGCTGTGTTTTGCCAATGACTGGCTGCATGACAATGGTGTTTTATAACACACACCAAGAATTACTTAACCAAAGCTTTGTGTGGATGCAAGTGCTGTGATGTTACACACAAATAGCACATTATGCCTCTTAGATTGTAATGTTTGGCGTAGCTGCATGTAACCTACCATATAAACTCCAGGGTACATTAAGATCATTTATATAGCTGTTTCTCCAGGATAATCCCCAGAAGATGGGATAAATTATATGATTTTCATGTGCAGGAGCTACACCAAATTCTTTTGATTAATCGAAAGCCATTAATGGTAATGGTAATGAGTTTGCCACTAAGAATACTATAAAATATGTAAAGCCTCAATGACTCTCAATAGATCTTGGCAAGTGCCTCATTTAACCTTCACAGCTCATGAAAAACTGTTCGAACTTCTTCGTTTTAGACATGAAAACTATTGATTGTTTACAGCATTGTATGACCTTTTCTGACAAGTGGGAAAAATTATGAGATATCAGGTTGTAATTCAATCACGCAATATGCTCTAAATTATGTTGGGTTTCAGAATGCCGATGCTGTTTCTGCACATTTATTTTAGCTTGGAGTATCATCTAAGGCTTTGGAGAAGATATGTATGAACCCTATTTCAAACTGCAATGCTCCTTGAATGGCCCTGAGTGCAGATAAACTGTTAATATCCATAAGGTATCAGACCTGAAAAGTTACTCTAACGATAAGTAATGATAAGACATTTTGAAAACATCAACTAAATAGCATTTAGCCATTATATATGAAGCAGATTATGTATCACATGGACCAAAATCCTATTTCAGAAAATGTGTGCAAAGACATGCCCCGCCTCAAACCACCGGTGACCGGATGATCTCTAGCTAACATGAAGTATTATTTAATCTAACAGCATTTGATAATGGTCCACTGAGCCTTGACCCGTTATCCTGGACACTAGCTTCAAACAAAATCTTTTCACTGCTGATCACATAGCCCACAGGAATTCAAGAATTAAAAACATAATGTGACAGCAATTTTTCACCTCCTATGGGATCTCATTTATCTTCCTCCTAATCATATTCTCACTGTTTATTTTACTTCAAAGTCTTCTGCTCTTTCATCACCAGAACTACACCTCCAATGGTGAGAAAATGTTGTATTTTACTATAGACCTGTAATTACAAGCAATAAGTGACCACTGGAATGGGTCTTTGGGAGCACGATGTTAAAGAAACATTTTAGAAGCTGTTAGAAAAATATTTTGTTGTGGATTCTTTTGGTGTTGAACAGCTCTGTGGATATTAGACATGAAAGGCAGATGTTGCTGGTGGTTATCTATGATTTTTTTTTGAAAGACAGACCATTTCCCCTACATCAATAGAAAATTTTTGCTTAGAAGTAGTTGACATCTCTGCCAATGCTGGCAGTTGTAAGAGACAAAAGTCAACTCAAAAGTTCCTATATTCTCTAATTGCTTTGCTCTCCAATGGGTCAGTAAGTTTTGCAGAACTCCAGCTCACCACAACCTCCCCTTGAGGACATCCCACCAGCAATTGCTTCCAGTATGTAAATTCACATTTTCCATATTTTGCAGAATGCTCAACCCATTTCTAGTGTTATGACTTGTTTGTAACTAATAAGATTTAAAAATAAATAAATAAATAACAAGTGGAAAGTTTTTAGTGTGCCCATTTCAGTGAAGGAATCTCAACCTAAAGAACCATGAGTAAGAAGCAGGTTTTATTCTGTTTGTCGGACCTTTAGTTCTCCGCCTAGGATTTTTTCCAAATTGATACCTATTAAATCAAACTACCATTCCAAAAGTGACTCTAATGCTCAAACTGAAGTAGAAATGATGAGAAAAATACATACAGTGGAACATAAATAATGGTAAAAGTTGGGATTTGAGGCCTGTAAGCGACCTGTCAGAGCACCAGTCTTTCACAATAAATGATGAGCAGAATACCTTTTCTGGGCTGTTTTGCGTTAGAATGTTTCCATCCACAGATAAGGCTGTTAATGTGAAAGCTTTGCTACACGTACCTAAAAATAGGATTGTAACCATTTTTCTGTAATGGACATTAAAGTTCTGGGTCTGCTGTACCAGGCTGAATATAGACAGCTTTTTTATAGCTGATGGTTTAACAGTAATTGGTCCCTGTCACTCTCACCTGTTTCAGGAGTTGAGATTCCTGACCATCCCGCTGTATAATTTAGAGCTGATTTATAGGAAGAATGACAAAACATTACCAATCTCAGCTGAAACATACTTCCACTTCAACTGGAAAGTTAAAATTTGCTGGAAAAAGGTCGTTCGAGTTTGTTTTATTGTGCTCCTTGCCCTCAAATTAAGCCTGCTCTTTCACAAGGGCAGGTCTTTTAGGAATTTCACCATATGCAATATTGAAGAGACCTCAAGCCACTGTGAAGAGCACAGGCTTAATATAAAGAACCAGCCTCAGCTCCACATTGCCCAAACTCACTGTACCAAGTCCTCCGAGGAACTAGAATGAGCATGGTTTTTAAAAGGAGCTATGTAAGTCAATTTTGCCTATAAAAAAGTCTGCTGTCAGGCGCAACTTTGAAGGTCAGTTCTGTATGGAGACATTTCTAACAATGACTATTTGGTAAGCCACCAAGGTGCTGATAAAATAGCTTAGGAATGTCTTAGGTCCAGAAACTTCATACTGAGAAAGGAAGCGTTTAAAGCATGTGCATAATCTTTTTTTTTTCTTCTTTTTTTTTCTCTGAAAAGTTAGGCAAAAGACATGGAAATATATATCAACAAAATGACTTAGAAGAAGTTGGGACTGAATATGTACTTAAAGCAGATTGATTGATTTCACAGGATTTAACCATTTTCTTATAAGGGCTAGGTAATCATTTGGAAAGGCATCAAGCTTGCTTAGCTTTGATCCGTGACATAAAAGGACATTATCATAATACCAACCAAGGTTGCAGTCAAGAACTGAGAAGGCATTAGAGTTGGTCCAGGAACTATTTGACCCAAGACTTTCAATTAAGGAACGGGGTGAATGACTATTTGATGACAAGCAATTTCCCTTCACTTTCTCAATCAGCTTTTAACAAAAAGGTTCATAAAATATGCCAGCACAGCCCAAGGCAACACAGCTTGTTGCGTTTCAGACCAGTGAGTTCAGTTTCTGTGAAAGTAAAAATAATGCAATTCACTAAGTTCTGAAACGTTGTGTAATATATGTGGAAGTGGTAGGTAAAGGGGTCATTTACAGATGTCTGGTGTAATTACACAATAGATATCAAATCCTGGCAGTTTTAGATGTGTACATCTGTCAACCATTTCTGAAGGCAAAACGTAAACCAAGAGCACTGAGGTGGAGACACTCCTAAGGTAATAATAATAATAAAATAAATAAATAAGTGATAAATTAAAGAGAGAATTTAAAATTTCTGCTTCATATTTTGATATTCGGCATCCCAAGCGTGAGCCACCAAGAAAATATACAACGCAATACTGCCTGTGTAAAATTCCTAGATCATTTCAAAAGCTGGTGGTTTTGTTTGGTCGGTTGGTTGGTTTTGTTTTGTTTCCTTATTTTTTTCCTTTCTTTCCTTATTTTGGGTGGGGGGAGTGAGAAAGTGAAGGGAAAGATTGGGCTGGGCTATACTCTGGTTTGATTGTTTTAAAACAAAGAAATCAAGCCCCTGAGCCATCGATCCACTGCCATGTTAAAGGTTATCATATTTACCACCAGGAAGGCACAACCAAGCAATCAATTTCCTAATTACAAAAGGTGCAGTGTATTTCTGCCATCAGATGCAGGTAGTTTAAGAAGCTAATCACAGCTCAATTAAAAGTTACTGCTCCCAACTGGGAGTGATTGGTGAACACATCTAATCCATGTACAAATAAAGCAAAGCCATATCATTTGAATGATCAATAAAAAGTATCAATTAGTGTGTAATCTCATAAACAGCATGTGTGACCATCAGCAGGAACAGCACCTTGTATCACTCATTTTCAGGTAGATTTAAACTCAATGTTGTTTAAATAACTTACAAATATGAAGCTTAGCTGCCAGAATCCACTCGAGGTTTTAATGCCGTAAGGAGCAACACCTACTGCTTTTAACTGGATAGTTCATGAGCACAGAAACCTGAAAATAAATTAGCAAAAAAGATAATCTAGTGCCTGAATAGCCTTCAGGCAGTTTGAGCTTCAGTTTTAAGCTCCTCACCAGTTCCAAGACTACATGAAGCATTACCAAAAAAAAATAATGAGTTTAAGCCAGCTATGTTACACAGTGTTACTTTTATCTTCCAGCACTTCACAAAATTATAAATATCCCACATGGCAACTATTCCTAGAATGAAGTGAAATCCAGCTACCCAAAGCCAGCACGCACTGCGACAGGCCTGGAAGTGCTGTGACTCGCACCTCTGGAAGTTAACATCCCACAGAAGCTTCCCAATGCCACGCTCAGGCTTGGGCCAGCAGAAGGCATCACCTTCCAGCCTGGCTGCATGCTGTGCACATGCAATAACACCTTTCCAAATCAAGGAGGAGATGCTCACCAAGAAGAAGGTTCTGTTTCTAGGATGAGAGCAGCAAATTGGGCACTTCCAGATAGGGCCAGAAACCAGAGGCTGGTCCACGCTGTCACACTCAACCCTCCTGCTCCTTGGGACTAGAGAAGGAAAGGAGAAAAAAGCACCCTGGTAGACTAAATCTAAAACAAACACACATTTCTTTCAATGTATCCCCTTTCCCTTCTCTCCCTACAAGGACATTATGCTGGAGGTAGAGCAAACTTCACAAACAATTGCAGCAACAACAAAACAAGAGACTTTCCTTTCCCTCAGACCATTTTAAACACTAGCTGCAGAAGATTTCTCTGCGTTTTAGTGTCAGAAAGTGCATTTTTACTCTCCCTTGCCATCACACAAGCCATAGGAAAGCACCAACCAAATTAAAGCATACATCCTTTAGGAAAAAATGGGCCTGCTCCTGCCTTCTGCAGCCACTCACACCCGCAGTGCTGGTACCTGCCAGGACGGGAGCAGTTGCAGCAGCACCCTGGCCATCACCTCCAGTTCAAAGGAAAAACCAGCCGAGGTCTGCTATGAAACAAAATGGTTTACAGTAAGCGTAGGAAATCCTCATTTTATACAGACACAAAAGGTCATCTTTGCAGACAATTTTTTCCTTTTTTTTTTTTTAAATCTATTTACTTTTGGACTATAAAACAGAAAACCAAAAGGAGAATGTATGATGCTCAAAAACCACTTCTCAAAGCAGCCAGATCAAAAGCAACGCAGGAACAAAGAAAACTTTTGAAACCAGTGACACCCTACAGCTCGAGCGCTGCTCTTTGGGGTGTCCGTCAGGAACACAAGTTCTGTACCGTCAGCTCTGAGGGGTGCACTCATAATCAGTCATAAAACAAAAGCGTTGAATCTATATTTTAATTTTCTTCCGTGGCATTTTCTGTTTCTGAAGTAACCCATGTTTTCTGCACTGAATTAACCAGGTATGTAAAGGCTACACATGGGGGGTTCGGTGCAGAGCAAAGGTCTGAGCTCTGTAACTGTAGATAATAAACAGGCACATCCCAAACACTCTGGAGAATCCCACAGCATGGAGGAAAAGCAAGCTCAGAGAGAAACACAGCCCCAGGGGCCAGCTCCCAGGAACTTATTTCCTTCTGACTCTCTTCTCGCTGCTTCTTACCTGCAAATAATGGCTCTTTCTGTCAGCTCTGAGCCAAAACTGGGATTTATCCAGGAAGGGGCTCTGAGCTCAACCCAAACAACAATGGACACAGCACACATTACAAGAAATGTTTGTTGTCTTTTTGTTGTTTCTTTTCTTTTTTTTCTTTAATGCCTTCCACACCAGTGAACAGGGATCTAAAACTCACTCCATTTGCCTTAGTCTGTGCCTACAGACTGACTCCTTCACTGAAATATATTGGTGGTATTTACACCATCACTGCAAACAGACAGGCCTTACAGAAACACCAAGAAGTGAAATGCATTTTCCTATAGTTAAATAGATATTTTCTGCTCACAGTGACATCTTATTTGTATGTGGAGTGAAGCACAAAATAGCCATATCTGAATTTCTTGCAGGCAAAAAGTCTGATGTACACCTTTAAAATAGCTTCAACATTTTTAAAACACTACAGCACATGAGGACAAGTCTCTGAAGCTTTAATGTATTTTATTGTAAATTCAGAACTAGGTGGAATGTAGAGCCAGAAAGAAGAAGGAAAAAAAAAGTATTACAAGTTGTTGTCTACCTGGGGTATCTTTCCTAAGGCATCTTTCCTAAGACCTGAAAAAGAAATATTTTTTTAATGAACTATAGAACTTATTAAAGTTTTAATAGTATTTAATAATATATATTTTAAAATAAAATGGCCAAAAAATATATATACCTCTGTTCTTTGATTCTCATATGAGAAATGGGATAATATTCAGATGTTTTTGTTCGGGTAGGTAAATCACAGTGGTGTGGCACACTGCACGAGTTCCTCTGGAGGTTACTGCCCTGGGTGTGGAGTTAGCTGAACATCTGCCAAGCCCTGGGCAAGCTGCACTGTCCTTCTGCAGTATTGATCAGCGTGCCTGTAACGGTGGACCAGGAAGAATATAATTTAAGTAACCAAAGTTACCTACTCTAGCTCTCTCCAAAAGCCTCTCTCAGAACAGAGTGGGTGTTGCCCCTGGCAGTTTGGGACCCTCAGCTGCCCCCCACTTCAGGTGGCCAGACCTGGAGGCGATGCCCAGCCCCAGCACAGGGCAGCAAGCTGCGGGGAAGGTGTGCTGCTGCCTCGGCTCTTGCCACCAGCAGTGGTGCCTGTCTGATCCCACCACCACCAGCTCAGAAAAAAAAAAAAAAAAAGTTGCACTCCAAAACCAGCACATATTTTTTCTGACATTTTAGCTCCTTGAGTTAGACCCTTAGGTCACTGGGCAAATTTTAGCAGTGCGATAAGACGTACTGGGGACAGAGAGGGACTCTTTTGCTCACAAGTAGCATCAAGAGAGGCTTAACAATGCCAAGAAACTAAACTTTTAGAAATCTTCCTTCCAAACTCAGCTGGCTCTTACAAAAGCAGACGTACTTGTTGCCCTGATTTCCACGATGCTCCTGACATAGCTTGCTGCTAAGGGACTAAAGACATCAGCCACTCCACTGACAGAGCAGAATAAATCCAAAGGTGGGGAATTAAACAGGATGGCACAGCATTAGTGTCATAGAGGCTTTGTCAGCATGAGACTTTTCTGTTTAGTTCAGGGACAATAGATTCTCTCCACCTTTTCACTAAGAAATTACAATGCAGATTTTATAACTGAAGTAAATCTGGTGTTAAAAAAAAAAAGTACAATTTCCTAGACAACTATAGTGACATCTTAGGCAACAGTAAATAAAAATAATAATAACAACAACAACAATAAATCTTTTCATAATTGTAATGCAGACCCACCGTTTAGGATTAGTGCTTCTTTATTCAGGGACTATTCCAAAATGTCCTGAAGCTGACAGGACCTTCATACTAACTTCAGAAGGCTCTATCCAATTCTATTGAGCAGCATAAGAAAATGTAAATCAAAGAAATTGTGGAAACTTAAAGGTACTTAAGTGAAATGCAGGAAGTTCATTCAGAGCCCAGGGCTCCCTGCATAGCATTTATTTTAACTTCTAATGTCGTGTCGTCTTGTTTAATGAACAGGAATCATACTTAGCCCTACAATAGGAGGAATTCACTGACAAATTATTTAGGAAAAAGAAAATCTTTCAGCTTATATTATCGTAATATTTCATTAACATTTCTAACAGAAACTCCCTCAAATGGAGAACAGCCTCAACTCAACGAAAAAATATGTGCAGAAAATCTTCCCCAAGCAGTATAAACAGAGGTTTAGGATTGTTCTGAATTGAGAATGATATTCATTCACTCCATTTGCTTTGAAAATATAGCCATAACTAATTTTTAAACTAAATTTTATTCTGAGAGATTTTCATGGCACAAAATTATTTGGAGTTACACCTGAACAAGATGGCTAAAATAGTCCCTTGTGAATGACACTTTGAGCAGCTGCTCGACCTCACAAAGGAAATCAGAGCACCATCCTAGTCACACCTCACCCTCATTAGGAAAATGACCTCGCAGGGCTGTTGTTTGGTCATGGTTGCAAAGCAGAGCTGGGGAAGAAAATGTTCCTTAGGTGGGATCCTTTGCACAGGGAAGCCAAGGAACTGACTTCATTTTGAAGGTGGCCTAATGGGGCATCCTTTAATGAGTGGTGACAGTTCTGCTGAACCAGACACCCAGCTCAGCACCCTTAACAGGCAGCAGCTCTGCCAGAGTCCTCAAAAATAAAACTGGTTTGAGAAGCAGAGGAGAAAAGTGAATGCTAATTATTAATTAGTAGAGCTTCAAGCAATTATGTAACTATCAGTGGAAAACTAAGACAGATACTTGACAAAATCAGACAGAGAAGGAAACAGAGTGACAGAATACAGGGCCAAACCTGACAAAAGTGTCAGCTCAGACTCCAGGGAAATTACACCTTTCACGTCCATTTACATTTGATGTAACAGGGAAGTACAATAAAGAAGAAGAATGACTCAGTCCCGCTGAAGGAACTCAACATGACGTGCGTTCTGCTTCCAGGCATCCACTCCACAATTATTTTAAATCACTGGCATCTTTGTGGCACAAATGAAATATATGAACATTGGAAATTAATGTGTTGAAAACCATGAACCTATTTGATTTCTTTCGATTCACTCCTGCACTTCAAATGTTGGACAGAGTACTCCAAGCCCCAGCCTTCTTCAGTTCAGAATTGGCTGTGGGTGGCCCAAGTCGCTCACTAGGACTTTCTATGCAAATATTGAAGGAATTTGGCTTGTACTTTCCAGAGAATCCTTTGTCACCCTATGGCATAAAGGGAGACCAGCAATAACATCTCAGGAAGAGCAGAGCTCTCCTCCATGCCCTTTACACATTGCTCACAGCACAGCAATGGCTTGTTGTAGGATTATCCAGTCCAGATTCTTCCTCATGGGTTGAGCATCAGGAAAATTACCCACTTTCTTATTTTGCATCATCCTATTTTACTGTATTCACAACAAAAAAGTTTGCAAAAATAATAAGTGATTGCAGAGCTCAATTTTCTTCCATACTGAAAAATTTCTGTCTTGCTCTCAACATGAGTCAAATTTGCAAGGACATACAGGGACAAACTTTCAAGGCACAGTCCAGACCCATGTACATGTATGTCTCAATAGAGACATTGCACTGTATTGTACACAAGCAGGTATTAGAACTTGCTCATCCAAAGTGAACTAAACCTAACTTCTGCACACAAACCAGGCTTTGCGTGCATTTCTTGTATTTTCCCCCATATTCTGTGAAAAAGAAAAAAAGTAGAATTGAAGGATTCTCCAAATATCAGCAAATCTGTATTCTGTATAAGGTACAAGGCACTCTATGTGACTGATGTCCGAACTGAACATCTCAGAAACACAATGTTTAAGATGGAGCACAGCACTGGAAAACAAATGCCAGACTTCTTGATGCTGGAGATATTTTTCCAAGTAAAACTCTTTCTGAGAGGTCAATTTAAAATCACTTCATGTTTTTATCTTGGCATTCAACAGCAAATAAAATATTACCAACCTAACTTCTGAAGTATTCACAACTGCACGGTGAAAGTTTGAAGCCTGTTATCGCAGGCACTTCTTGCCTTCCAAACTGAGCGCCCTGTGCTGCTCAGCTGCTTTCCTGGCAAGCTGCAATCAGGGCTTATGCAGGCAAAGGCCATCTGCACGCCCTTCTTACCATGCTAATAAGAAGAAGATATTGGGAAATATCTTTGGTCTGGGAAAAATAAAATTTTTTTTTTCACTACCTTTTAGAAGTCAAGAATAGGAAGAAAGCTACAAGACTCCTAACGCCACACATTAACGTGGCTGACAAGGATCCTGACACTATGAATGAGGTCTCTGTTTTCATGCTAAGTAGCCATCAGGAGGAGCAATTGTTTTCTGTCACAGTATTGTTTCATTAACAATAAAGGACATTAGGAAGCTATGAATTTTACTTCCTCTTTTTTTTTTTTCCCCCCCACCAACTTCATCTCAGCTACTTTCTAGCACTTTCCCTGCTGATCTTCCAGACTGTCCTTTCATGCCTTGGAAGAAAGAGACATTTCAAGACAATTTATTTTCCAGTCATTCCAAGCAGTCTCCATCTTTGCTTAACTGAAAAACAAGACACTCGGGAAAACAGACTTCTACCTGATACACCTCTTGTCCTTAAAGGTGTGAAACTGCTGAAAGTGTCACTGTACTTTGGGTCTTGTGCATGATGTGGTAGCACAGACAGAAAGCTGACCCTAGCAGTAGAATAAAGCTTGGAAGCCCAGCCGAGATGCCTGCTTGATCAAAACCCCACAAGTTCTGCAGAACGAGATGCTTTGGAAACCTTTCCTTACCCTGACAGGCTGAAACAGAAGAACCTGTTCCCAGCTCTTACTAAGCATCCTGAATTTTCTAAACTCATTTTTATAAATATATTTCAGGGAAATAGAAGTATTTTACCCTAAATTTCAAAGCAATTAGGGCATATTGCAATAAACATTTATTTTAGGCTTTGAATAATGGTTTCATAAGTTCAAATACTATTGATAAAAGAGTCAAAAGAAAATGGCAGTGAGACACAAACAACCTGGAAGGTAGAAGTGAGGAGAAGAAAAAAAGTGTGGTCCAAACAGAGGGAAGAAGAGATAATTGAGGAAACTTTGCCCCTTAGGCAAGACTGGCCCACCTTCCCAAGCTCTTACAAGTACAGGAGGTGAAGGAGGAAGAGGTTTTCATACTGTTGTCATTAGCACATGTTTTCTGCTAATCTGGGATGCAGCCCTCCCACCAGCATCAGCAGCAATCCGGGCATGGGCAATATTTCAAAGGAGATCTTAACTGTTCTGGACTCATCCTACATCTGCACGAACAAAGCAAGAATCAAATGACAAATATCAGGCATTGATTTCCATGTAATAGCACCAAGTAAACTAGTAAACTTCTTTTAGTTTCTAAAAAGACAGCAAAATGCCACAAAATTACACGATGAATTTTAAATTGCACTGAACTTGCGTTAATGCTTTTAAAAGTAATCATATCCAATTAAGCAACCTACATATTGGTTTTTAACTAACAATGGAAGTGTTCAAAATCTGAGCACAATGTGAAGTACTTTCCTTTCTCTTATTGATAAGGAAGACAAAAGAAAAAGTGTCTTCTACTACAGTATTAGACAGCAAACGTTGCCTTGTACAAAACAAACTATTCAATTATGTTGTCAGGTGTGACAACAGCAATCAAGTTGTAAAGGCTGAATAATTTGTAATTTCTAATGGACAAGGCAAATTATTTCTTACAACATAAAATAAAAAATATTTTACACTATACATAAAAACCACAAATGGGTGCTACTAAAATAAATAAATCAAACATGGGAATTAACTAAGTTTGAAGGTAGGGCTTGTGACTTCTCTATACAAATACTATGACTACAACATTGCCTCAATTTTATTTTGTTTTGTTGGATTATTTTTTTTGCTAATGTCAGACAGACTCTAGTTCGCACAGCAGTCAACATCAGCAATTACTTTTTAAAGGTTTACTGAGAATTTATTTTCAAATCTATCCAAAGATTACACATCAACATTTTAGTCTCAATGATTTTAATAAAATAACCTAGGAAGTTCTTTTATAAATTTCTTACAGGAGGAATTACATTTTACAGTCTTGCAGACAAACCAAAAAGCTACAAGAAAGCACGTGGCAAGGATGTATTAGAAACACGCATAAATCAAGTAGTTCTGCTCGATCCGTCTTTTGCAACATATTCCTTTTCTAGATATCTCCATAATAACAAACTTCCTCAGAACCTCTGCAAGCTGAGAGAGACGAGCTTGTACAGATTTTTCCAAAATGTTTCTTTTAGAGGATGATACATTTTAAATATCAGTAAAAAAAATTTTTTTTTTTTTTTAAAATGCATCCAAATTCTCAAAATCTGGAAATCGCTCAAAGAATGTCACTAATTAGGTTTTCAAGGGTTTTAGACATTAGAAAGTTGAAACCCCAGAAGCACCGTGTACTTTAATCAATAAAATTAGATGAGAGAGAGGAAGAACCATTGTACGCTATCTAAAAAGTACCTCGTCAATTACCAAAAAGGGTTCATTTCATAGTCAAGATTTTTTGACAACTGAAGCAATACTAGTCATCAGAAATCTCATCTTTCAACAATTTCTAACCCATCAGCCTGTGCTTGCAATAATCTGCACCCACAGGGGTTTAATGTTTCATATTTGTTTTGGCACTAAATGAAGAGAAACCTCTTACTGCTTCAATTACACCAGTGTCATGAACATTAGCACGCAATAACTGAGCAGTTAAGAACTTTATGAATCAAACAATATTTGAGAAATACGTTTTTTTAGTTATGGCTTCTGTAACCTGAGAAATTCAATAACTGTGGAAGATGTTATGAGTATAGACGCTCCCTTTCTGACATGTTGCATATATGACTGAAGTTAAAAACAATATTGTTTCCACAGATGCAATGTATCATTGAAGAGTGCTCTTATGAAAAGGCTGTAACACAAAATTTACAGAATTGGACCATTAACATTAAATTGTAAACACATTTTTTCCTTTTTTTTTTTTTTTTTTAATATATAGATTTGGTTATTTCAAAGCCAACTTCTGTTGCAAACTCAGGGGCTAATACATATTAAGAAATGTTTTAGAGTTATCAAAACAACTTTTAAGTTCCACATTTAATAGCATTTTTTGCAGTGCTCTTCTGAGACAATCTCAGGCTGAGTTTATCAACAGGGAAGATTACAAGAGATGGTTTCTTCGACCAAGGGCCTTCCCCAAAGCCAGCAAAGCTTTGCTAACGTCCCTTCCATTTCACAGGATCTGTGACACTGCCAGGGAAAGGCACTGATGGATTCAGTTGGACTTGATGATCTTAGGGGTCTTTTCCAGCCTAAGCGATTCTTTGACTCAGATATCTGACAGCCTGAACGGCTGCTCTGCCTGTCACCAGTGCTCCCTTCACAGCTATCGATCGGGATCATGACTCCTTGCTGCCAGCAAGAGAAGCGCTTGGTCCCTGGTCAGGACCCTGCCTTCAGCCACTGCTGAGCTGGCCTGCAGCCTCTGCTGGAACTCAGAGTCAAGCAAAGACTAAAAATTGCAAGGCCAACCTACCTCAGCTGAAGGCATCGGAGCTGCTCTGTGGGCAGCACCACTGCTCCCCTGCACACTGAGCCCTCACAGCATGGCCAGCGGCAGCACCCCAGCTCCAACAAGGAGCTGAGAGCAGCTGAAAGCCCAGTTCCCATAAGCAGGACTTTGGTCAGTAATATGGCTGCAACATCAGGAGCTTGCTACTTGCAAAGCTTTAGACCCAAAATATCACATGCAGTGCTTACAGGGGGAAGGAACGTGCCACTGTACAATAACCACGGAAAATAGTGAAGCAGGGGAATTGTAGGGTAGTTGGGGAAGGCCATCATCCCAGTTATAGTGTCAGCAGCTAAGGTGGTCAAATGCCAACAGTGCTGTGAGGCCAGAAACTAAAGAATTTGTAACCCCTTTGGCCCTTGCTCTGGAGCAGGCCAAGCCAGGCAATGTGGTGACAAACCCTGACCACACAACCAGGTGTGCCCAGGGATGATGCTGGCACAGACATACCAGGCTGTGCTTAGTACAACACAGGGAACAACACTGCCACTTTGTCATTGCCCCTGTAACGTGTTTTGGAGGTGCAGATGCAATGCTGTGGCTTTCTGACACGTCTGATGTATGGTAAGGAGGGCACCTGCTCTGCTCCAGAGGCCTGGCCACCTGAAGACAGTGCCGCCTGGCTCCTCGGGAGGAAAGTCCAAAGACGAAGCAGTCTGCAGAAAAAAAAAAAATTATATATATATATATATATATATATTTTGTGGAGAGTTAAGATGCAATAACACATAAGGCACTTCCCTTACCTGTTCCCACAAGGGACTGCAGTAACTCCTACTTAATTCAACTAATTTGTTATACAAGTTACACTACTTCACACAGAACAGCTGTAAATAGGCTGGGCTATGCTATGCTTAATGCACTTCGCTATCAGTACATGATTCTAAAAAAAAATAATTGAGAAACTAATTATGCCACCATTTGTTTCACTTCACTGCACTTATTTTTCACTTTAATTTTACTAAATAACATCCTCCACACACCTCAGTCTCACTGTTCTCAGATCAAGAATAGTTAAAAGTGTCGAAACACATTCCTTTCATTTTTTGTATTTATTTTATGCATCACAAAGCATGATGCATCTTTAAAGCCAGGACATTTCAAGGATCTAAAAAAAGACACAGATCGCCTGCCAAAATTCACACCATTATTTTTATTTCACCAAATAATCATCTGCAAGCAAATCATCATAGGCTAGCCTCTCCAGAGCAAGTTATGCATGTTTACTAAGCTAGCATATGCAAACAAACAGAGTTACAGTTTTGACTATGGCTAGAAAAACACCTTTCACGATGCTTTTAACAGCTTGTTATTATTTCTTTAGTTATTGCCCTGAAACTGGAACTTTTATTATGTAAGATTAAGCTATGTGGTACTACATAACTATAGCACGTCAGCAGCTAAGTTGTTTTTTTTCTCCTACTGTTTCTAAATTCAGGTCTTCACTTGTAATCATAAGGTTCAAAAAATTAAAACACCACCAAACCCCTCACACGCCAATCTTGACGAAATAACATTGCTAAACGAGATGCACTGCTCAGCTCAGAAAGTGAGATTTGCTCTCCCTCTAGAGTTTTGTCTGCATGCGCTGTTATCCATTGCTGCTAGCTGGCAGAGCTGTTCTGCTAGCACTACTCTTGCTATTCTTTTTCACTCAAAAGAAGTTGTGACCTTGAAAACAACCCTTTTTCATTAAATCCTATGACAAACACTTTGTCTAGCCTTGACCGCAAGCCTAAACTCCTCTCGGATACATTACAACAGTTTAATATAATAGCTGCAAGCAAACTACCTGCAGAAGTTGGTATTGATTTATATTGTCTCAGTACTCATTACCTTTAGGTGAGACTTTCTCTTCACTTTTGGCTCTGTGATATAATGGAGAGAATTCACCCCAAGCAGCCATATAAAACCTTGCATAGCTCTACAAACAAACCAGATCACGCCTTTGAATAATGTGGGAATGAAAAGCGTTTGCTTTGTGCCCAGTGAAATAGATGACACCCAGGCATGCAGGAAAAATCTGTAAGGCAAACACCTGCCCAGCACCAGAGATCCGATCCGAGCGGCTCACACAAAGTTTGGCTGCCAGGAGTTCAGAGCTAACCTTCGAGCCGACAGGCACACACTGCCCTGATCCTGGCACTCGCTAAATGTCAAGGATTATCTCATTTCCATTTTGATGAATAATGTACAGAAAGGCAAACACTCCTGCGTGTACTCATGTGGGAATGCAGCTGCAGGAATTCAGCAGGTTGCGTGCGCTGGACCAGAGGGAGATGGAGGTGTAAGAAAAAGGGATGGCTCGAGGGTCACGGACTCTGCTGCCTTTTAATGCTTCAGTTCTCCCTTTCTGTTGGAAGACAACAGGCTGAAATAACTAATTAGAGTAGATACCTGCTGGATTCTCCAATCCTCACAGCTCTGTTTCTGCCACCAAGCGAGAGGAGGGGCAGCTGGGCAGCTGGTGGCAGAGGGATGGGATGCTGGGGGCTCAGAGCTGGCAGCACAGGCTGTCCCCCACCCCAGCACCCCGAAAACCCAGCAGCCCCTCACCCCAGCCAGGGATTAGGAGCAAGAATATACCCGCTCTTACGCACACCTCTGTCCCAAAAGGGGCACAAACAATGCGTGGCACGTCTTCTGAAGGTCAGACGTTCATTTGCATGCAAGAACTCAGGTTGGTAGTCCTAATAAAAGCTGCTAGCTAGGTCACATTTGGGCTTTTGCTTTACGTACAGGGAAAAAGGGAAAAGAAAATATCTACAGAGTCAAAATAGCTAAAAGGAGGTTTTATGTCTATGATTTCTGACTAATGTGCTGGTAAAATGACATGAGAAGCCCAGAAAAACAATCAACACTGTTTTCTTGGATCTGTTTTCCCTTGTTTGTGCCTATTCTGCTCCATGCAGGATGGAAGCAGCAGCAGCAACCCATGGCTGGCTGCACATCACTGCCCATATAAATTCCCCTATAGCTACTCCATAATAAAAAAGGGAGAAGACAGACAGGTATGGTAGCTTTATAGCAGCAAAAGTTTGTCTACATTACTAGTGGAGAACTTTAACTTCAAATTTGCAATTATTATTTTTTTTTTCTAAAGAAAAAAAGAAAGCTTTAACAAGACCTACATACAGAGTCTGATCTTTTAAATTAGAGAACAGAAGAATTCTAGGTATGTGCCAGAGACACAAAAGACCCCTCTTTTCTTACGGATTTCCTGGGCTCAGTGGCAGCTGTAGTGCACAGCACTGGTGCTGAGCTGCCACAGCAAACTGCAGCGAACCCCAGCAGCAAGGCTCCCTCACAGCATGCCCCTGGCCAGACCTCCTGTCCCACCCTGACTCATCCTAAAACCCACAAGAAACAGAAGGAGCCATCGCAAAGACTTCTTGGCTGCTTTGCTGTCGTTCTTTTCATATATTCTCACTGCTGTGACTGTCATTATTACAGAACACAGCACAATGACCATGACCATTCGCTTTTCTGCAGCACGCTCCATCACAGACCGTTGTGTAGTAGCACCCAGATCTGCAGGATTTTCTTGATTTGATCAGTCATCAAAATTTGACCAAATTATCTTTCCGTGTTTGTTGTGGTTTGCTGCACACAACACAAAAGTTTACCTCATTTATCCCTCAATCAGTGTCTCAGTTACACATGAATTCCAATGTCCAACTCCATATCCTTACAAATGCAAAGACATTGCAGGCACATGGTGAGTCCTAATGGACACATCTTGCTTAATTTGCCAGACTTTAAACACAGCAAATGATGTGCAAACTGTTGCTAATGGGCAAGACTTAAGACTTTATACAAACCCTCTGTGAAGATGTTATGAGTTTTGCAGCTTTTCACCTCATCTCCTTATCGCTGCTTTTTTTGAAACGAGCTGAATTGCATCAGTCAGTGTGGTCCTTACTTTAACAAAATTTCTCAGACAATATAATTCTAAATCCCCAGTAAGGAGCTCACTGAACTGGATGGGTTTTGGACAAAATGCTGTAATCGAGTGAAATACTGACTGCAGAACCAAGTGGCACCAAATTATCTCTTCTGGCTCCTTTACTTCAAGGGGAATTTTGCCCACAAACTCAGTGCCTGAGATCTGTTTTTCTAGCAATACGCTCTGGATTTAAAAGGTTTATATTAAGTCCTATTAGTAATGCACTGCTATATAATCAGTGCAAATTTGACTGAATGCTTCTCATATTGGGGATGGGAAGTTGAAATCATTTTGCTTATCTGATTATCTCAGCGTGCGTTCAGTCAGAGGGGATTTGGTCTTCTACAGAACACATCCAGCGTTATTTTCCCGTTTTGTTTCTCTGCCTCATGTCTCTTTTGCGAGGAAACTGATAGTATAAATCAAAATAAAAATCTTTCAGTACTTCAAGGAAGCAGCCTGGGAGCGAGGCAGGACTGCTGCAGCACACATTTACATTCATTAGAAGTCCCTCAAACTGCATCTGAAAGTTCACAGCCCAGATTTGCCGAGACTTTAATGCATGCAGTTCTCTAAAAGGTCCATTAGCAGCAAAGGCAGCGTTGGCTTAGCCACTTGGCAGGCAGCGAGCACGCAGCAGCCTTTGAAGCACCCGATATCTGCGCACACCGGGGCGCTCAGAGCTACGGAGGACAGGCATCGCCCGTTATTTATTTATTTATTGCAGGCATTTCGTTACCCTGGCACGGATAACGAAATGAGGACTTCAGGTGAGGGGGGCACACAGTGTCAGCGTTGGCTTGGGCTGCCCAGCCTGACTGCAGGCTCAGACAGACCAACAGCTCTCCCACAGCACGTTTTGCCTGCCAGGCAGCTGCTAAGAGACAAGATTTTATCCAGCTCCCTCTCACCTACCTGGATGGTCACAGAGGTTGTGTGTTGGGCTGGACAGACAGGAGACGGGTGGAGCAGAACAATCTCTCTGAGGTTTCCCTGAGCACTGAGCTATGTGCCACGGCCAGGAGCACATCCCCAAGCTCTATTAATCCTTGTTTTAAGCTCCTTTGTAATAAAAGTCATGTTTTTCAAGATGGCAGTTACGTGACACATGTATTCATTGCACAGATATTGCTCAGAACTTCTGTAAATTGTTTTACATTTGAGATGATTTCTGGAGGAGAAGACATTATTTTTTATTTCTCAGAGGACACGATATTGGCCTTCTCCCCTAGATCCTGGGGACAAACCTGTTCAGACCTGCCCAGGTGTTCTCCTTAGATCACTCTGGTGATATCCTCACTCAGCCAAGGCCCATCAAGACCACCAACCTCTCCCTGGGCTGGCCAGTAGCACAGTATCAAACACATAGGGAAGGAAGAACCAGCAGCCACGTAGAGAAGTCCTGGCTGTAACACCACAGCTCCCAGCAACCAGCACTTTAGGGACACCCTGAATCCAGCCTACCACGCTCAGAACCCACAGATAAACAAATCATTACTCTAACACCTTTTTTAACCTCAGCGCAATTTTTTGGCAGTGACTTTTGCATTGTTCTCTATGCTAAGAAGTAATTCTGTTTTATCTCATCTGAAGCCAAATGGCAAAGTAACGCAGGGGCTGGATGGGACCGAGCTTGCAGTCGCGGCTGCCTTTGTGCTGCCACTGCCCTGCGCTCGCTTCCCTGGGCTCCCAGCCAGCTCCTAATGAGCC